CAAATTGTTAATGAAAAAATTGACAGAATAACAAAAGAAATTGATCTTAGTGAACAAAAATATGAAGAACTTGAACGACAAAAACATGAACTCGAATTACAAAAACGTGAAAATGAAAAAAAACTTAAAGATCTTGAAGATGAACGAACCGATCGAAATAATCAATTAAATCGACTTCAACAAAAATTAGTTGCAACTGAAGATTTATTTAATCGTGTTGATATTAAAATAAAACAATTTGAAAGTTTACGTGAACAACAATCAGCTAATGTTGAATCACTTGAAAGTGAAAAAAATCGTTTAGAAGAACAAAAAATGAAACAAACTGATGAAGCTAATGCAATACGTGAACAAAAAGAAGCTGCTATTCAAGAACGACAAACAGCTGAAACTGAACATAAAGAAGCTGAAAAAGCTTTAGCTAATGCTAAACAAAGAGAACGTGAATTAAAAAATCAATATGAAAAAGCAATTAATGATGAAAATCGAATAAAAGCACAACTTTCACGAGCTATTCTGGAAGAAAATACAGCTAAAAGTGAAATGCAAGCAGCACATGCGAAAATGAAACGAGCAGAACCTATGGAAACAATGTGGAATTTAGTCGGTACAGTTTTACCAACTTTAGGTGGTTTTGCTCAAAGTGAAGCGCAAAAAGCAAGTAGAGCTCGTGCTGAATATGATAGAGCACGTGAAAAATATGAAAAAAAACAAGAAAAAGTAAGTGAACTTCGAGATAAATATGCTACTGCTCAAGCACATACAAAAGATGCTGCTAATTTACATATTGCAGCAAAACAAGAATCGGCAAGACGACAAACAAATGCTCAAACTAATTTTGGAAAGTTTAATGCATGTAAAGCAAAAGCAGAACGTTTAATTGAAGAACATCGAAGCGTTGTTCGAAAACAACAAGCTACTGAAACAAGTTTTCGTATGGTTACAATTCAATTACAAAAAGCTCAAGCACAACTTGCTTCAACCACAACTGAAATTGCACGTTATGAACAAGAAAAAGCAACACATACAACTCAAATTAACGAAATTAAATCAAATATTGATGATAAAAAAGAAGATATTCAAAGACATCAAAGAACAATTGATGCTCATCGATTAGTTATGGATGAAAATAAAAATGCTTTATCGGATAAAGATCTTGCATGTCAACAAGAAAAAGTTAAATTACAACTTCTGAAAGGTATATATTAATTTCATTTTAAAGAATAATTTTAGAGTTCTTTTATTCAAATTAATTTGATAATTTCGAAAAAAAAAATTTCAACAAAGATTTCTTCTTGAGAATGAAATAAGAATAGACAAAATCTAGGAACATATTACTAAAGATGAATTTTTTTCTTTTTTTTTCGATTAAGAATATAAGTTCTTCTGAATTGTTTTGTATCTCAGTTGCTTTTACTCGATCTAAAACTTTTATCGAAATTAATGACATACAAATGCCTCAACTATTAAATTTTAATTGGCTTCATCGATTTGATTTTTAACATGTTTAATTAAAGAGAAAAGATTAGTATTAACAGAACAAATACAAAGTGTCTTTATCTATTATATACGAGGATTTGAACTTTTTAAATGTTTTTGATACAATGATAAGACGGTTTTAATTACTTAGGGTATACCAAAAGTTCTTTTCACGGTGATTTCCCTCCCCCTCACTCAGACCGTAACCAGAACTTCTGGTCAGTCTTAAGTACATTTTGATAGCGCTTGATATTTTCTATCTTTCTATATATTTGTCTATCGTCCTCCATTTATCTATTAAAAAGACAACTTGAGTGCAATGAAGTCACCCTCAACTGACGAATATGCCTGCATGATACTAAAATTATTCTTCAGCACCTAAATGCAAGATAAGATAAGACCACACTGGATGACAGAGTATTTGAAGCTCTATTAGAATGTATAATTACTTTTGTAAAAATTTATTTCCGTATCACCTATAATTTTCAAAGGCATAAAAAGTAACGAATTTTCGTACTTGTCAATTGAGGGTATTTTCATTGTACTAAAGTTAATTTTGCAATAGATAAATGTCAGACAGTAAACAAATATATAGGAAGGCATAGAATTTCAAGCGCTATCAGAATATACTTGAAACTGACCAAAAGTTCTGATCACAGTCTGAGGAAGGGAGGGGAGGAGAATCACCGTGGCCAGAACTTTTGATATACCCTGAGTATTATTTAATTCAGAGTTGTAATCGATAGAAATAATCAGATCGTAGCGGACCGACATAAATAATTGTTCATATTTCCGATCCTATACAAATGAAGTAGCGTCTCCCATGTAAAAATAAATCAAGGAAAAACGGGATTTTAATCGATTTTTTTGTGATTAAAAATCGATTAAAATGAGACGATTTTCATCAAATTTTAATCAGATTCCTTGAATTTTAATCAGTTTTAATCGCGTTAACGAAAAACT